GGTCAAAACGAGTCAAAAAATGGAGGTTGTGCAATGTTCACGGGCAACACTCATTTGTCATGTCCTAAGGGGTCCTCCCGGGGAGTGAAGAGCAAGACTTTACAGGCAACACTCATTTGTCATGCCCCGAGGGGGTAAAAATCACCCCCAAACCGTGAAGTTTGCAAATTCCAGTAGCCACTGTGCGCCTCGCAAGCCTTAAATTTGTCACGTTCCCATGACCGCGAAAATCACCCCGTGACCATGAAAATAGCTCAAAATGGTGCGTTTTTTTGCCGAGATCACTCTCTGTTGCTATTATCACCCTCGTGAACAGTGACAATGAAGTAGGCACTGTCGGGCAAATATAAAGATAACAGTTGGGAGAGAGAAACGAGAGCTGGTTTTTGGAGAACTTGGTTCTCTCTATAGGGTTTTAACCAAAACATCATAAAGGAGATGGTGAGAGAGAGATAGTTCTTGAGTGATCTTGGAACTTAATTGAAGGCAATGATCAAGTTTGGAAGCAAGGAATCGAGCCTAGAAGAAGAAGAAGATCTTGTGCTCCAGTTTGTAATCTCTCTATTCTCTCTAGAAACTAGCCCTCTTCTCTTAGGTTTAAAAACCATAGGTCTAGATTTTTGTTTCAAGTTGATGTATGTGACATATTCTATGGTTGATTGATGATTTTACCTATTTGATGGATGGTTTTCATGGATTGCATGAGTTTGGATTCCATTCCATGTATTGAGCTTTTGACCAAGGAGGGAGAAAATCCCCTTAGAGCCCATAATTAGTGTCTTCGGGTTAATCCTATCATATGTTGTCCGGGTAATCCCTGAGGGAGTCGATTCAATCGATTTCCTAGCGATATATGAACCCCTATGTAGAATAGAGCACCTTTCCATCCATCACTTTGTCGTTCCGGGTCAATCCCGAGTGAGTCGATCTCATAACGGTAGTGTAGTGAATCGATCGAGCTAGAATAGTACTCAACATCGATCCAAACGATAGAACTAGAGGGATTCAAGCTAAGAGAGCTCCACCACTTGTAATTAGCTAGGTTAATGGTTAGCTAGGTTAGTTACTTTAGTTTTCCTAACCACTATCCTAGGTTGGCTAGATAACAAACCCTAAACGCGAAGTAAGGTAAGTCTAGATCCCCGTGGTTCGATAAATTTTATTGTTTCCTTACTCTATGCTACATCCGATCGTCGTTTATACTTGGCCTTCGATTGGGATGCATAGTTAGAGTCGAGCCACCCCGACACCCATTTTCGCAGACATAACATGTTATTCCGATAGTGCTAGGGCCCGGCCTAAAAAACTCAACGAGAAACAGCCTCCACTGGTAACTGAAACAAAATCAACCAATCCTCATACCATGAAACCTTCAACTCTCCCTCACGACCCCAAAGCCAGTTTTCCCAGAAGCGAATCGCAGCCAGCGATGGAGGAAAACGAAGAAATTGACCAACCAAGTTGTGTTCAAGGAGCTTTCCCCCATCCCACATATAACAGATTTGGGATACGAACTGAGCCATTTATCAATTTCGGCTCAAAATACTACCAATGAGCATCGTCGACCATTCCAAAGAGTGAAGCCCATGATCGGCCGTTGCCAACGGCGCCAGGCCAGGACCTTTCAGCGATAACCAACATAAGGACAAACGATCGAGAAAAAATCACGAAGAAGAGAAAGTATGAGAGAGAATGATGAGAGTGTTTTATAAATTCATTAATACATAAAAAATGGTTTTGAACCGGCATTTCGAAATCATCTCGTCTTATTATTGTTGGGTCCGATCAAGCCATATTAGCAAGAGGTTTAAACCTAATGGTTAACAGGGCTAAAATGTTCAAAGAACCATCCACTTATAGCTTTCACAAAGGAGGAATTTTACAATGCTATATAGTATTGGTGCTATAGTTTTTTTTCCTTTATGGTACAATATGAAATTGTACCTTTAACGTTATGGTACAACTTCAGATTGTACATATACATTTTGTACAAATTCTTTTATAGTACAACTTGAACTTGTACTTTTATTTGATGGTACAACTTCAAGTTGTAAAGTTGTACCATAACATAATAATACAAATTCCTTCATGGTACAACCTAAACTTATACATTTAATGTTATGGTACAACTTTAAGTTGTACATTAAAGCACCGATGCTATATAGCATAGTAGAAGTGCTCTGCACAAAGATATAATTGATTAATGGTAGTTCTGAAAATTAATACTAATTTTTGAATTCTACATCGCTTCTACATATTCATTACTCCAATGTAATATGCAATATTCAACCAAATAATATTTGAGTTCTGATTTTTAGGGATGGCAATTTTGCTCATACCCATAAGCATTTTACTATCCAACCCATTTGGGTTGGGCATGACATGCAAATATATGGTAAATGGGTAGAGTTTGATGGGTTTATACTTTATACTCATACTCATTTACTTGGGTTGATTTGAGTTTGTACCCATATTCATATATGAATTATAGTATGATATCTAAACTTAATAGATCTTTAGATTTAGTACCTAACCGAGCTGTCAATTTTACTTTTATTTTCCTTCATTTTTCTTTTGTGTGAGCAGCTCAAGGCAGGCAGCAGGTCAGGCAGACATGGAATGTAGGAAATGTTTTTGCTACTCCTTCCCAGAATACCCTTTCACAAATCTCTGAAGGCTGAAAATTTAAAATGGAACTGGAAGTTTTATTTTTCTGCTATTATATATGCGGGTTAGACCACCCACAACAAGGAGGGAAAAATAGGGGAAAAGGATGGGAAGTCCCACAATGGGGGTGGGGGGAAGAAGGAAAAAGTGGGAGGGTTTTCCCTCTACTAGAAGACAAATGGATGAGGTGAAAAGGAGAAGGGGTGGGATTGACCCGATATATTTTGTTGTTTTTTATTGGTTTAATTATTTTGATTGAAGATCATTGTGTCTTATTGATCGACGACTATATTTTTAACCGTTATATTTTCCAACGACTATTTTTCCAACGATCATGTTTCCAACAACTATATTTTTCGTCATTGATAATGATATATTTAATTAGTGATGAATAAATATGTTCAAAGTAAAAAAAATATCAGAAGTTTTGCCTTTATTAATTATTATTACCTATATAAAAATAATGAACAAATTATCTAAATAAAGTGATGAGATCAACACTAAATTGAATTTGTAAAAAAATACCACTTATCAATTACCCTATTTTTCCCTCCCGACCTATTGTGGCCAAACCTTTTTCCAAAATCCCTTTTCCCCACTTTTCCCACTCAAATTTCCCTCTTTTCCCTTCCACCATTGTGGATGGTCTTATAACTAAATGTTTATGTTACTCGCTCACCTCACGATATCATCTTGACCAGAATCTGCTTGGACCTGTTATAACGGTAATGAGACGAAAAATATAGATAGAAGGTGTGTCTGAGAAGTGTTAAATAGTATAAAGGTAAGTTTGATATGATTTATAGTGAAGATGTACGTTTGAGAAACATAACATGAAAAATATATAAGCATTTTATACCTATAGACGAAGAAATGTAGATTAAGAAAGGAAGAAAGGAGAACCAATTAGGGACGACATATACCTACTCCGCCCCACCTTCTTCATCGTTCCATCCAAACCCCATTAAAGCTCCCCACCTCCATTAAAGTCACTCACTCACTCACTCACTCACCTCCAATCCTTGTTTGGGTTCATTAAAAGCTTTTTTCCACAACAGTCAAAACACATTATCAAGGAAACAAAATTAAGTGTTTACCCCAATGAGGGAAATAAACTAGCAAGACCGCCACGTGCCTAATAAACTAGATGTTTGTAAATTGTAACTGACTGTAACATCGTCATCATCCCCGATTCAATTGTTTCCACCGCAACACCAACTGCCCACATGCCTGCAAAACTAACTTATAACTGCCCTCCTCTACTCTACTACTGCTGCTGGCTTGTTTTTTAACTTTTAACTGCCAACGGAAAGGATCAAAGGACAGCATTGCAAAGACAGAGGACTGTTTTAAAAGAGACAAAAGAGGTCCCCACTCGCTAGTCCCTACACCAGTATTAAAAAGAAAATATATACATATATATTAAAAATTCCCAACATGATTATTTTCTTTATTTTTGGAATGTTAGTTGTAAAACGATTTTCCCACAGCGGAGCAGACAAATCATTCATTTCATTCACATCCATTTATTCAATCCTTGCCAGCACCAACACCAAAAACAAATTTGGATGGAATATATATATAAAGTGTGTGTGGCTGCTGCACTAATCTTATAGTACCACCACTCAACTCAAACTAATAATATGCAAAAGCCACATTCTAATCAGAGAACCCCTAGTCCACACAAAATCATGATATGACATGATATAATTGCCTCTTAAAATAGTGATTCAATTCAACCACTAATTTCTCTCATTCTAAATAACACCACAACCAATGTGATTGGAGAGTTTGCTTTATCTAAGGAGATTACGATTTAAGTCCGATGTCAACCTAATATCCTATTTAACAACTTTTATCATAGTAAATTTTACCTCTGTCCTATAAAAGATTGCAAACGTTCATTAAGCAAATGTTTTACTCCCTTTCTCATTATTATCAAACATCTAACTCGATTTCACTTCACTTCACTGGAAACGACATCGAGAATAAGATATCCACTCTTTTTTACCAACCAATCAAATCGTGTCTCCGTTTGATTTAAGTCATAACAATACAATACCAATTAGTGGGCTAAGAAGTGGCTATTCCATATATTATATACACACAATAGGCAGTAATCCCAGCCTCGTAATGACGCGGTTATAGTTGACAATCTATCATGATTCCAACAACCCACATAGGTTTGGGAAACGAAGGCAATACCAGCAGTGAACTGAACTGAACAGAACAGAACACAGATGATGAGTTATCACATCTTAAATTATGTGAAGAATAAATTGTTGCTACAACTCGAGAAGAGAGCAATAAGGTGGGACAAAAAATAGAAACCAAATGGAAGGAAGATTAAACTCTCACCGTCCCATTAGAGGCACAATCTTCGTTCAACAAAAGACATGATATGAGTAGATATATATATGCAATAAATCCCCCTCCCTCCTTTCTCTCCTCCGTTTTTGTGTAAGTACAACTTTTTCACCCTGGTCTTTGCTTCAATCATTCCACTGATGTCACAACCCTCTCACCCTGTAATGGCAGGGCTCTTGCTTCTTCTTCTTCTTCTTCTTGTTCTATACAACGAGAGAAATTAATTATTTGCATTATACTAAGAAGATTGAGGAAACCCTCCCACTACTAAACGCCATTGATATATAGCTTGCTTTCATCCCGCATCACTTCTTCACCCCCCAAGCAATCATACCATTCTCTTTCTCTTCTGCATTGCTAAAGGGGAGCACCATGCATGGGAGGGAGGAGATAATTTCTGTCTGAATTTCCAATCTCGTAACTAAATTTTCCAGCAAAATGAATCATCGCATACTGCTAAAAAGCGGCTCGCCCAACTGTTGCAGGCATTCTTCAGGGTTGGAGTAGAAGTAATCCTCTTCCTTAGGCCTGTCTGGGATCACTAGCCGTTTTCCTGGGCTACCCATCCTTGTGGCATGTGCTTCCTTCACCGCATCCGAAAACTCATCCCAACTCAGTGACCCATTCGTATACCGGTCTATCAAATCTACCAATAGCCTTCTCTCCAGTAATATCGTCTTCTTGAACCCAAGAAATCTGTAAGCCATATTACAAAGGTGAAACAAAAAAATTCAAACCTAGATCAGAAAAAATGCACCAACCAACACCAAGTTGCATTAAGATTTAAACAAATGCCATTGAGAACTAGAGATCATCTGAATCGAGGCAACAAATTATCTAAAGAAGACTTGTCACAACTATTGTTCCAGAACCAGAATGAAAAGTTCTGCCTGGTATTCGGGGGCATACACAAGGTTTTGTCCTCTGATTTGGACAAAATATTAAACTTGGATCCTATATCACGACCGGAGTTTGTACTCCAAAACCAATTATCTGAAGCCAAACAAAACCCCAGGCATTAGTTTGGAGGGACTACAAACACACGGGGAAACAAAAATATATCATATGCAGAAAAAAAAAAATACCTTCTGTGGCCTTCAACAACTTTGGCCATGTTTCCGTCATAGGTGGGCACAAATATGTCACTTTCCAATGAAACGAGATAATCCAACGCTGCCATCTGGGACGAGTGATTCTGAAAGAACCTCAGATCTGATGGTTCCAAGAGTGTTTCCTTTCTCACCTGTTTTATAAAAACATAAGGCAACTGGCTAAGGACCAACCACTCATGCAGCAAGACCAGGTTACCAGTTGATAGAACAATTAGCTACTCACCAGCTTTGGAAAAGCTGCTGCAAGGCTTGCCATTCTCCTCTCCGCGCCATATATTTCACCAGCAGCTATGTAGATCTGCATGCTTGGGTCAATATCCAGTGCCCTCAGAGTAAGGGCAGTCTCCTCTGGGGTCAAAGGGCACAATCCATCTTTCCTTTTAAGATCGGAATTTATTACCTTCTCTTTCCACCAAGGATAAGCATATCTGTTTCAGGGAATCAAATGAAAATGACTCCCCAGTTAGATTAATATTCAGGCTGAGACAATGTTAGCCATACTAGCCAACATAATTTGTCCAAGGCTCACCTCATTCTTGTTAATTCTTCCACTTCTTCCATATTACAGCCTTGAGTACAACCAGAAAATGCCAACATATCCATTTCATATCTCAGGTGAAGTACCAAGAAAGGACCATTTTGCCTGAGAAGTCTTATAACTCTTCTACCCAGCTCCTCTATTTGAGAAGTGAATCTAAGAGCACCGAAATTCACACGACAACGTAGCTTCTGAATCTCTAGAGGCTGATTATTGTTTGCTAGTCTTGTATCTGTTCTGTTAAGATGAAGGACTTTGTACTTCTGTATCAAAGGAAGAATCTGTAGGCCAAGAAAAGAGAAAATGAATAACCAAATACTAATAATAATAATAAAATGAAAACAGAAACTATAAAATGAGCAATTTATTTGGGATCCTTATCAAATTTGCAAGAATAAGTGGACGGGTATTGCATATAAGTGTGATGCAATATCACAAGTAACAAGCAATAACTTCCTGACCTGGTCGCTGTAGTAGGATATATCTGACCAACTAATTGGTGCCATCGAATAACTCATCCCTAGTTCCACTCTCCTCTTAAGACGGGGAGGCAATGCTTTCAATATTCGGACCTCATCTCTGAGTGATGTGATGAAATGATCAACATCAAATATGTCCTGGAACTCACTGTCGATAACAAAACAAGAACAAGTTATGCAGCAGATTGAGCTTTTCAATGGCAGAGGGGGAAATATTTATCCTCTCAGTCAAAAGAAACTGGATTCAGATGTTATTCTAAAAGAGCAGTGAACACACCTGGGATCAGCCCAGAAGGATGTCTTGTCCAACTCTGGGACAATAAGTGTGACATTCAAGTATCTTGCTATGGCAACCATGTCACATATCTGCAAGAAATAGGAAACCGAAACGCAAAAGATATGTGGTAGTCAGTAAAACTGCCCATAATAACAAAGATACAGACCAAGAAAATAGCTAACCACTCACCGCGGCTCTCATTTGATTCAGGCCTCCATTGCACGAAACCACAAGATATCCATTGTTTCTATAGACCCCTGGATTTTGAAGAAGAAAAAAACAACATATGAGTTAAACTCTGAAAGAATTGCCTTCACCGACAGGGGAAGCGAAAACAACTTGAGTGGTTGGATTAGCAGCAAGAGACAGAGTTAGTAAAGATAAACAACTGCAAGAAAGATAAACCAGAAGGTAGAAGGTATTAGCGAGCCTTTAATGGCCGAAATGACTTCGGCAATGGGATACCTTGCAGCAGTAAAGCTTGGCCACATGCACAGCCCACTAATAACCCACCACAGTCATGTGGTTGCTAGCGATGCATGTATTACTAAATGATGATGACAATGTCAAGAGCATCAGATTCAGGGGTAACATCAAGACACTAAATTTCCATGACATCATTCTAACCAAGTGCAAAGACTCAATAATTGAAGCGAATTAGTTAACAATTAACCAAACCCAATTCACCAAAAAAAAAAAAAAAAAAAAAATCAGCGGGTCAAAGAAAACAAACATCTTCTCAGAATCTGGGATCGCAAGCGCCCTCTGGTATCCAGAGTTCGACCGACACAAAATATAATTAGCTTGAGAAGAAGAGTAGTTAAAACTAAAAAAAAAAGCTCACTCTTGGGAGGCAAAACGCGAGCTGGAACTCCGGGAAGCTTCTCCTGCAAAAGGGAAGCTGACTCATGGGAGAAACAGGAAGGCCATCCTTTCAAAACCCTAGGCCCCCACAGCTCGCCGATGGTGGTCAATTGAACGATGCAGGTCCACAGCAAGACGGAAGTTGTTGCGCGAAACATCCAGACCTTCATATTAGACTTGGAAAAACTCTTCTTCACTATCTCCACTCCATTCACCAACCGTCCTCGCATCTCTCTCTTCTCTCTCCCTCTGCCTTGTCCAATTTCAACACACTTTTTCTCAGTCCTCTCAATCCTGCACATTTCTCCCCATACACAGTCCTCTCTTGTATCCCCACCTGCAAGCTTTCGCCTGCTCGAACAGGGACTGATACCGGACAATGCAGGATCCTCAACGGTAGCTTGGACCCCGTCCCCCCTGATCTTACAAAAGATCCGAACTACGGGGAAATGCGACACTGGTCTTCTTTCCCCTTGGGCGCCCGACTCTCCACAGCCTTATCCGAACCTCCGAGATCCGGAATTCCCCAAATACGGAAAGCAAATCAAAACCGAATTTCAAAAGAGAAACGGAACACGTGACTGGTACCTTCAAAAACACGCCCAACTGTGGAATCGCTAATTCGCAGGAAGGCAAAAACCCTAATCCCACTCCCACATTAGCCCGGAATCGTCGACGGCGAAATTTTCAATTCGATTGGCGGGATGAATCTGGAGGAAGATTGGGTTGGCGCATCGATCTCGGGGAAGAATATATATATATCTGTATGATAGATTAAATCAGAACGAACGAGCTCTCAGTTGTTCGCCTGAAGCTGTCGCCGCCGATCGGAAGGGAGCATCAAAAGAGAGCGACAGAGAAAATACAAAGAGAAGGAGACGGCGAGGAAGAAGGGGACCGAACGAGCGAGAGATGGGAGCGAGAGAGAAAGAGAAAAGGAAAGAGAGAAGAAGAAGAAGATGTTTTATTTTATTTTTTTTAAATTATTTTGGCAACTCTCTCTATAACTATGCGGTGTGGTTGGGATAAAGCTATGGTGTGAACTGTGAACCGTATACCGCAACGGAATTCACTAAACTCGCATTTTCCTACAGAGCTCTGTGGCTTGTACTTAATCTCGCGCCATTGTCGTCTCTTCTCGTCTTCGTCGACACGCCGACAAAATATCGCGATACGTTGAGAACTTCTCGTTTGCTTCTCCTTTCCTTACTTCCCTTTTTTTTATTCTTTCTTTTGATGCCGTATGTATCATTTCCATGAGGGGGAATTTTGGGGAAAACAAATTTTTAGAGATCCATAAAAATAAATAACTATGTTTGTTTTTTGTTTGTTTTCTTTTTTCGGGTTTATGAGTTATGACCCCGTTAATGAAGTATGTGCTGCAGTGAACATTGTAATTAATGAATGGGGGATCCAAGTTAATTAATTAATTGAATTTTTTTTCTTTCATTGAATAATAACTTAGATTTCTCTAGATATGTTTAAGATTTTCTTCTTTACTAGAGGAGAGGTTAGGATTGTACATGGGCGCCGTGCTTGGGCCGGCACGGCACGGGCACGCTTTGGGCCCATTTATTTCGTGCCGTACTTGGCACGGCCCGTCAGTTTTCATGTCGTGTCATGCAAGCCCATTTGTTAACTTTGCTAGGCCCGGTCCAGACCCGGGTACAGTTCGAATCGTGTCGTGCCTATTCGTGTCCGTGCCATGCTCGTATTCGTGTTTAATGAAAAGGACGAAAACAAAAGAGAGAATGAAAATAAGGTGAAAATTGGACGGAGGAAGATAGTATTAATTGATAATGTTTGAGAAAAGTAACAAATCAGGGGGAAATAGAAAATTGGAAATATGCGAGTGTGATTTGGCTTTGTTTATTTCTTTATCCATTTTTACTTTTGTTAGTAATTACGTATATATCTTTATGACACTTTTAACAACAAAAAATATTTATTTTTCTACTTGTGTTTTGTAATATTTGAACCTATAATTCTTTTTATATTTATTTTCTATCAAATAAATATTATTTTCGTGCCATGTTTGTTCTTATACTCAATAAAGTCTCGAAAATATTAGGCCTGACACGACCCACTTATATACCATGTCGTGCCCGTGCCCATGAAGTTTAGGCCCGGCACAGCCCATAAATTATTCGTGCTCGTGTCGGGCTGGCCCATTTATTTCGTGCTCGTGTCGTGCTAGCCAACGTACAGTTAGGATGCTAACATCCTATTTGTTAGTAGGATGCTAACACGGGACTAGATAGGGTGACAACCAGTGGCGTAGTCAGGATTTCGTTTAATGTGGGTCCACCTAAAAACAATATATGATAAAATAGTTTTTTAATATAATCTTACTGTTTGAGTCTAACCGAGAGAAGGAGGGAGACTCAGGTGAAAGAGGGGTGAGATGAGTAAGCAATATGGTCTTCTTTCCTTTAATCGAAACGATGTTACAAACAATATATGTCGGGACAGAGGGGATTTTTAGAGAGAGAGAGTTCATCTTTCTAGAGTGAGAGAGTAAAAATGCGATCCCCTCACCCACCGGAGTAAATACCGTATTTATAGGCTACATTGTGGTGGGTGAGTATTTAATGCGACATGACTACTGACTTGTCAGACGTTTAGGCCATGCCTCTACCTAAGGCTAGACAATTTGCTCATGATTATACCTAGGACTAGGATGTGACCACTCTTCGGAGAATACGATGTCGTTTCCTGGCTTCTTAATCCAACCTGAGTTTGAGCAAAACGGTGTCATTCGGAATCTTGGTTCTTTGTGGCGCGTTCCGCCTCGCGGAACTTCATCCGCGAGTGCAGCCTTCTCTGCGGACGTGATCTTTTTGCGAGTTGCTTTGAGCCTTGGTCGCGATGGTGCTAGCGCGCGTGGCTTTTCTGGGATAGTGTCGGGCTGCTTCCTTGGCGCGAGTAGACCCGAGTCATACCCCCAACAATTGCCCCCCATTAGGTGGTATTCCGCGAATGCCTCTTGTTTGACCTCCGCGAGATGAGCTCGGGTCCGCGTGATCTTCACTAGAGTGCTCTGGCTTGGGTGTGCTTTTTTCCTTTCCGCGGGTATACCATGCCCCCTAGGCGGTGGAAGGAACCTGTGACGTCACCGACTAGTGCCTATGCTTGGTAGGTGTCGACGTGTCATTATGTGGTTCACTCGTTTGGGGGGCGGTTTTTTTGAAATTCAAAATCGCTGACGGTTGCGATTCCCGATGTAACTTTAACCTTTCAGTTTCCCTTCGTCAACTATAAATGCTCCTTTTTCGTCGGGGGAGAAAGTCATTCTCCTCTTTCGAACCTCTGCTTCTCCCTTCTGTGTTTTCTCCATCGCCGAGATTCCTCTCCTTCTCCTACAACCTTATTTCTCCCTTTGTTGTTGCTAATACTCGAAGAGTACCATGGCCAGCAGTGGTGTCAACGAGATTGAGGTCGTGCAAGATAAAGAAGGTAATCTTTCCCCTCTTTTGCATATTTCTACCAATCCTTTGCTGGATTTGGCCGATTCCAGCAACGGAAACGGCGGCTGAGCTGATGATGAAGGGGTTCCGGCGATGCCGTCATAGGACGTCGATTCTGGATGGGATCTCCTACACAGCTCCTCCGATGTAGGTATGCTAGGGCATACACGTGGAGAACCAAGCACGCGTGCTCGTGGGGTGTTCCGCCGCGACCGCGCTATTGGATCTGGCAATGCGAATGTCGAACCGCGAGAGGACTCAGACACCCAGTCGGAGCCTGTCTGCGTTTCGCGAGTGTCTGAGGCCATGAGCCGGCTTGGCGTTCGTGGAGTGGGCGCGGCTTACACCATACTAGACTGGGCGGAGATGTTTGGGACAGATCCGGCGCCGCATGACAACCTTGTGCGCGGGCCTGATCACGTGTCCATCTACGGGCAAAGGGAGGTGACGGAGCTTGTACGCGGATTGGGCTTGCCCCCCAATTGGCAGTATGCAGTTCCGTCCGCGCGGAGCAGGATCGGGAATTGCCCCTTGGGTGGTTTGGGGTATATTCCGAGTATTGGAGAATGGGTTCCAAATTCCCCATTGATCCGTTGTTGCGTACGCTGTATAGATGCCTCAAGTGCTCTATTGCGCGTTTGTCTCCATCCGTGATGATGCACGTGTCGTGCCTCCATCTCGTGTGTAAGGGCTTCTAAAGCGCCGCGGATTACGGAGAAATCGCTACGGGCTGTGAAGAAATCACCCCGAGCCCTTGTCAAAAAGGATATTCGGGCAAGTAAGCCTCCGCGCCCCGAGACGACGGTCTCGGGCAGTTCTTCTAGTGCGGCTGTGCAGCAAACATTGCCCGAGATGCCTGGGTTAGGGACGCCTGCAATTAACTACTTCCGCGACGTGCGGATCCATTCTGGGGCTGCGTGCAATAGCTCGATTGCACAGACTGCCCTGCGGGCTCTTGGGCCCATGCTTAGCATCCCACCTCGGATGGAGAAGTCGGACCCGCTTCAGGACCTTTCTCAGGTTCACTTCGCGGTGAGCTTGGCGGATTTCGTGCGTGTATATTTTTTTCTAAGTTCCTTTGCGCCGTTTTTGTGTAGGGCTTGCTGGCGACCTTCCGCGCTCAACATGAGCGGGCTCGGGACACCACGACTTTGAAGGCCGAGATGTCCAGAGCTGTTCAGCTGGAGGGAAAACTTGCCGGTGCGGAGAGTCGGGCAGATTTGGCTACCAACCGGGCCAACGAGGCTATGGAGGAGCTGGGAGTCCTGCAAAGCAAGCTGGCGGATGATGTGGAGTCCGCGAAGGAGCAGGACCGGGCGGAGGAGCGGGCTTTCATTCGGGAGGAGCTGAGGAGGGAGTTCGAAGAGGAGCGGAAGCGGCTGGTGGATGAACGGGCTCAGGAGAAGAAGTGTCTGGAGACCGATCACGCGAAGATGCCGAGGCAGGTCCGCGAGGAGTTCCAGAAGGAGAAGGCGGATCTGGTCCTTCATGATATGGCCAAGGCAGAAGTCGTGCGCACAGCGCAGGCTAATGCAGTCCGCCAATATAAGTCTTCAACTGCATTCGACAAACTGTTGGCGGATGCCACGACTAAGGCCGTAATCGCGATCCGCAAGAAAGTGCGGCCAGATAACCCTGGGATCCGTTGGAATACCCGCGCCATGTGTAGCAGTTTCTGGGGGAGAAGAAATCTCTTGAGGCGGATTCTGAGCTCGAGACAGAGGAGGAAGAGCTTAGCGCGGCAGGGGTGGCCAAGGAAGGAGGCGTTGCGGCTGCTACAGCTGGAGGTAAAGGCGCGGCGACGGCCACGACTGAAGATGTTGAGAATATTGTTATCGATTAAGTGTGGTCGCGCTGTGTTTCTCTAGTTGTTTTTCTCTTTGTCTTTGTAGCTCCTTTTGTTATTTGCCCGCGTTTTTTCATCTCCCTGCTTTGAATCCAAATATATGTCAAGTTATCTCACGGACTTTTCGTTTCCTTTGTTTCCCTACGGCACATGGCTGCGTAAGGTGTGCCTTTTTAAATTTGTTAGCGCGATTCTTGATCACACGGTTACGTTGTTAACTTGTAGTTTTATTTATTTCTTTGTTGCAACTCATGGTTGCACGATTTTCTTGCAAATTATATGCGTGCTCTATTGTTTAGCATAGTTCATGACTGCGCGGTTACATTGCTATTGTCATAGTGGTTGCGTGTGACAATGCGTTGCGTTGCCCCCATTGTTGCGTGGTGGGATGGAAAGAAGAAATTATCATTGCATAAATAGGACATCATGGGTACATGTAAGTAGTGGTTACGAACTCCTGTGATACTTTCTCAGATTTTGGGCGTTCCATGTCCGCGATATTGGTTGCCCACTGAGCGCTTAGTTTGAATGTGTTGGCGCCGACGACTTCCCGAATTAAGTAGGGGCCCTCCCATGTTGATGCAAACTTCCCGTGCTTTGCTTCAGGGCGAAAGTTGCACCTCAACACTTGATCTCCCATTTTAATGTTGTGTGGAACCAGCTTGGCATTGTAGTACCTCGCAATCTGCGCCTTCGCCGTGGCCAGTTTGATAGCGGCCATCTCTCGGCGCTCGTTAGTTAGGTCAAGATCCGTGAGCCGCACTTCATTGTTGCTTTCTTTATTGAACATGGTGATGCGGTACGTGGGTACTGTCGTTTCGATTGGGA